CCGTAATATCGGTGTAACTCGTAATATCCTGATCCGGTGGCGGGGGATCGGTGGTGGGGGATTGGGGGATGCCCCTCGGTATGCCAACACAGCAGTGCCCAACGACCACCATTACTCCATGGTGCAATCTACACCTGCAGGCGCAGTGATGGCGGGGGAAGTGGGGGAGGCCCAGATACAGGTCTTTATTCTTTACCTGCAGCACTTGCAGCCTCCACCCATTCCACGCTAGTTCTCTATAGCTGCTTGCAAGTTGTTAACGGGAGTGAGTGTTGGTCCCGCCCTCGCTTGGGCAACGCCGACAACTTGGTCGGATGTACGGGAGAAGCAGCCGACCATTTCGTAGTGAAAGAGCTGCTCGACGGGCCTTGTCGAGCTGCAGGGGTTCGCTGTGGTGTTGCTGTCGACCAAGGAGCTCGACAGCTGCAACTCACTGGTCTGGGCGACGGGCGGGCAGTCGACCAGGAGGGGCAGTTCGACCGGGAGGTCGACGGAGCAGTCCGTTGATCTGTAGTTCGACCGGGAGGTCGACGGAGCAGTCCGTCGACCTGACAAGTGAGCAGCGGTCGACGAGGGGAGCTCGGCGACATCAGCTGAGAGTTCTGGTCGACGAAAGGGGTCCGTCGACCAGGGGGAAGCTCGACAGGATCTCTGGTCGACCGAGGGACCTCGTGGTCAACCGGAGGCACCTAGTGGTCAACCGGGGGATCTCCTGGTCGACATGGGGCACCTGGTGGTCGACCGGAGGACCTGGTGGTGGTGTCCAGGTCGACCGGGTAACCTGCTCGACGAGTTCTGCGGAGGCACGCGAACAAACGCCGTCGAGGTCGCGATGGCGAAGGCGACTTCGGGCTGGTATCCCGAAGTCGATGTGGCTCGTCAGGCGCAGACAACAGCCGACGGATGCACAACAATGCAAGTCGGGCCAATCGTCTGCGCGCACCTGCGAGCGTGCGCACTGCTGTCTTCTACGGGGCAACGCTGGACAGCCGCATTGCTGCAGCGTTGGCACGCCGTCGACCCGCAGTTTTGGCAGGTCGCTCGTCTGCAGTGCTTGCGCGGCTCCTCTACGCAACGATGGCAGGCGGTCGACCATGCGGTGCTGGCGGTCGACCAGGCTAGCTGCAGAGTTGCTAGGTGCCTGATGTAGTCATTGTTGTCATTGCTTGTTCAATCATTCTGTAATTCCAACTTTGCTAGTGGAAACTCTTGCCAACTTCTCCCGTGAATGTGCAAGTGCTAAGGAACGCAAGCAAAGCTACGATCACTCCTAGTAGTTCGTGCCAACTCCGTTGTCTAGCTCACTACCGTTGTAGAGTGATCCTCCGCACAAGCTCTCAAAGGAAGTTGCAGTAATGGTGGGGTAAGTGGGGGAAGCCCAGAAATGGGTCTTCATTCATTACCTGCTGCATTTGCTCCCTCCACTCCAAATGGCTGCACTCTAGCTACCCGCCTGCTCTGCTGCTCTGTCCCTGTGCTCTTTGGTATGCTGCTTGAACTGGTTGCCCAAAACATAGCCCGGAGCAGGTAGTTTCCCAATAACGTATTGTGTTACGCTACACACAGCAGTGCCATGCGAGTATGAACTGGCCAATTTGAGAGCAGTTGTCGGGTTGTGAGGCATCTCAAACAGTAGCGAACATGCAAGCGCCTTAGAATGATGAGAGTGGTCATACATGGCAGCACACTACCGGTATGCATATCCATGCTGTTGCCCACTCACTTAGTCCTAGAATAGAGTAGCTAGCCACTTACTCCGTCTAGCCACCTGGATTTGGGCCAGTTGGGTCCATTCATGATTGCCTTTGCACGCCACTAGACTGCTCCATAGCCTTGTTACTGCACTAATGATCCCTAACGCTGCTGGTTGGATGCCCAAGCGATACATTAGACTTCCGTATTCATTGCATCACAGCAATGTGCCTGAAGAATGCTTTTTTGGCGCCTAGTGCGTATATCGAAGCAAGTACAGGCTGGCTTCTGCCAGTGGCAGAATAGCCAGTTGCATTGCATGGTTCTTCTGCCCGCACTTCTTTTCAAGCTGACGAGTCAAGAACCTCACCGGTGCAACTTGGTTCTTCGAGATTCCAACCAAGTCATCGTCGCCCTGGGGTCAGAAAAATTACCCCCAATGCCATTCGACGGTTAGGATTCGCGTTGTGGACATTGGAATTTCTTCTACGGTACAGATTACCCTCGCATTGTAATGGAGCGGCGCGTCCGCGCCAGTCCTGGTTCCCACCGTTGATATGTTCAAATCCAATCCAAACCCTTCAGAGCTTTGTGTCAGCAAACCTGACAATGAAGGGTTTCAAGGACCGACCTTCCAGAGATTTCACCTTGGATGAAGGTGATATTCGGTGGGGTTTCAACTTTCAATGCAGCGCGCGCGCGCCGGCTGTTATCCGCTCCATTGGCTGTAGTTCAGATTCGAGGAACTCAGTAACGTGAGAGCAACGTGTGTTTCTGAGCCGAGAGCAACGTGTTTCTGAAGCCGAGAGACTCGCTGAGGGAGACGTATTGGCTGTTTAGATTCAGACTCTGATCATCATCATTTAGCTTGTGTTTGAAATGTTTGTCAAACGTAACAGCTGTGTGTCTCCAGACGCTACTCTTTCTCCGTCCATGGCAGGTGTCTGGTAGGCGTCATAGGTAGGTCGAACGGACACGAATACAACTTCGATCGACTCGATAAAATCACGCCGCACTGACTCGAATGCGGACACTGAGTCGCACGCACCTGAGCTCAGTTCGCACTCTTCGCATGCACTCCCAATGCCGTCGCCAATGTCGTCAGCGACGCACCTGTCGTGCGTCTCTCGTGCGTTTTCGCACAAGTTGATGACTCTCGGGATGAAAACGGGAGGTAATACAAACGAGGAAAGGAGCCCTCCATTGGGGTATTTTATATCTTGGTCTCACTACGTGCTCGTTTCCATCATCACGTGCCTCCTCGTACTCGTTATAGCCGAATCGTTACTGCCATACGTGTCCAGACCCGACGCGGTAGTGGGAAGCTTCCGCATGGCGGGATTGGCGGCATTAAGGGGAGAGAGCGGAAGGCAACGCGGCGGATGGGATCCGCAATTGTCGCGAAAGCCGTTGCGAAAGCCGGTGCCTGTCGTCTACAATCCAGACGCATCAGGAGAAAACGCCGTTACTGGCGCTGCCGCTAATGGCGCTGCCGCTACTGGCGCTACCGCTTCTGGCGTTGCTTCCAGCGTTTCCGATGGCAGCGTGGCGCGGCTCAGACGACGACGACGAGTATGCTGGACGTCGTCAGGAGGTGAGACTTCGATCAGCATGGGAGAAATGAATTGCGTAGTTTTTAGGCGCCCCATAAATAGGTAAAGCTCAAATCAATTTTTATGATATAAAATAATTATGGGAAAAATGTGTTGCATAGAACTTAAGCGCGGTCTTTTTTTTTGTTTGTTTTTGTAGCCGCCTTGCGCCTAGGCCAAGGCTCAATAGCAGCATGAATTTTCTGAGTTGCGAGGCGCCTCGTAAATTGACAACTCGTTGAACGAGTATGCTGGATGTCGTCCGCGCGTCCGCGCGCCTCGCCTATTGGCGACTGTGGATATGCTCGTACACATGTCCTGTGGGTTGCACAGGTGATCCTACATTGCACGTCACGTGACGGTCGTATGTGCGTGCGTTGGCCGCGCAACCATTGCTTAGCAATGCTGCTGCGATGTGGGTTCCGTGCATGCTAGTTAGGCGCCAGATTTCTGAGTTTTATCTCTTTCCGCATTTCCCCTCATTCAATGTTGCTAAGCAAGCACCGACGCACCATTTCCAGCAACGCCCCATTCAAAACCATGGATTTCCCCCTGCCCCTCCGTCCGTCTTTTGAGACGTCTCAAAACCATTTCCAGCAACGGCCCTTTAGCGCTCTCATCCATGGATGTCCCCCTGCCCCTCCGTCCGTCTGAGACTCCTACTTTTGAGACGTCTCAAAAGTCGCCCCATTAGTGCTCTCATCTCATCCATAGACTATTCATCGTCTCCTCCTCTTCTGGGATTTTCGAAGCGCCTAGAACGATGCTTTCGTGATACATCTTGTTTTCAAAAGGAGTCGTATCACCCCCTCCTTTGCTTTGCTTGACCCTGATATGATTCTGCATCCGCTTTCCCCTCGGGAGATTTTCACGGGCGCCTGAAAATACGCTCTCTCTCTCATGCGACACCCCTTTCCCTTTCTCTTGCTTCCCATGTCCTTGAAATCACTCTGCATACTATTCCTCACCTCCTCCCAGACGGCATGTTCTCACCTCCTCTCTTGCTTCCCATGGCCTTGAAATCACTCTGCAGACTATTCATCCCCGTCCCCCTCGGGAGTGGTGATCCACGGCTCAGGTTGCGCCACGTGTCTGCGCGGGCAGCGTTGCTCCTTCCGTGTGTCCGTGCGCGCGCCCGCGCGCTGGGAGCAGGCGGTGAAGAGGGCGGCTGGGGAGAGCTGGTGGAATCGCGACCTGGCTCTGACTTTAAGAGGCGCCTCGCTAGCCCACGGGGACATTAGGTGTCTAGACCCTCTGCACTGCACGGAGTTTAGAGTGTCGTACCGCGTGTGGGACCTCGGCGAATTCTGGTGAGTCTAATTTCGAGGCGCCTCAATTTGTAGTTAATCTCCACACTAATCCTTACCTAAGTGCTGTTCGGTTGGCTCCTTCGCACCACCCCCATATCCATGCCAACCCCTTGGCACCACCTTTGAGTCCCTCCCAACCCCTGTGCCCTTTTTGGATCGCTTAAAACGGTTGGCATCTGTCGGGTTCGAAACAGTGGGCATCCTCAAAGCTCTTGAGCGTTGCGTCTTCACTTTTGAGTCGACTCAAAAGTCACCTCACATGGGAGCCACTTTTTAGAAATCTTTTGAGAACTCCCAAAAATGAGATTTTTCAAGAGCGAAAGAATCGTGTTGACTCTTGAGTCGACTCAAAAGTCACCTCACATACATGAGCGTCTCGGAGCTCTCAAACGTTTCGTCTTTTGGCATGTTACGATTCTCGCTTTGCGCCCAATCATATCACTCACTGTTGTTCACAGTGCCAATCTCTGGCACCCGCTTCGCCCCCATCCCTCCCTGTCCTAACTCACATTCCCCTCGTTTCGCCCCATCCTTCCCCCATGGTCCCCCGTACTTTCCCCATATTCCCTCGTCCTTCCTCCCATCTACCTACCCCTGTGCTCCCCCCATTCTACAGGGCGACGCTGCACGTGGGGTGCGCCAACTTCAGATTCTCCACCTCCTTCGCTCCCCACTTCAACCGTTACCTCCCTCGCTTTGCCTCTCTTCCCCTTGCTTCCCCCACTCCCCTTCCCCCTCCCCCCCCTCTTCCCCCCTCTCATTCCAGGGCGACGCTGCACATCCCGGGTGCGCCAACCTCCACTTCTCTCTTCCCTTCCCCATGCCGTGCCCATCCCCACACTCCCCCTCCCACACTCTCTCCCCCCCTCCCTGCTCCCCCGCAGGGCGACGCTGCACATGGGGTGCGCCAACCTCCACTTCTCCCGCCACCTTCGCCACCCCCCATCCCCCCCCCATGCTCCTCCTTCCCCCATGCCACCCCCCATCCCCCTCCCCTCCTTCCCCCTCCCACATCCCTTCCACACAGGGCGACGCTGCACGTGGGGTGCGCCAACATCCACTTCTCCCGCGCCTTTGCTCACCACTTCAACCGCACGCACCAGCACAGCCTCGCCTCCTGGCCCATCACAATCACGCCACGTGGCGAGGCGCTGACCAGAAGCACCACTCCTGGCATCAGCAACAGCAGCAGCAGCAGCAGCAGCGTTGGCAGTAGTGTTCGCAACACCATCAGCAGCAGCAACAGCGGTGGCGGCGGCGGTGGCAGTGGCAGCACAGGTGACTGCAGCAGCAGCACCACAGCCGCCATTCATTCAGAAGCAGGCGGAGGGGATTGGGAGGAGGAGGAGCAAGAGGAGGAGAAGGATTGGCCGGGTTATCCGTGTGTGGGAACGTCAGTGCCGGGGAGATGGGTGGTGAATGCAGGTGTGTGCGTGTGGATGGGTGTGGATGGGTGTGGATGGGTGTAGATCGGTGTAGATGGGTGTAGATGGGTGTAGATTGTTGTAGATGGGTGTAGATGGGCCTTCTACCCATGCTCCGCCCCCGAATTCCCCGCAGCCTACTGGATAGCTGCGTTACACGAGAGGGGCATTCACGAGATCAGCATCGTGGGGGACAGTCACCAGCGGTTTCTAGCAATGCACCTGGCTTTCCTGCTCACAGCACACACTCCCCCCATCCCCTCTTCCCCCCATCCCCTCTCCCCCCCATCCCCTCTTCCCCCCATTCCCCCCACCCCCCCCTTCACCCCCAGGTGGGCCTTCTACCCATGCACCCCCCCTGAAATCCCCAAATCCGAGTGGGTAGCAGCGTTGCACGAGAGGGGCATTCACGAGATCAGCATTGTGGGGGACAGCCACCAGCGGTTCCTGGCGGCACATCTGGCCTTCCTGCTCACGGCACAGTCAGACGGCAGACTGAATCGATGGCATGAAAACCTGCTGCTTTACGCGCGTGACGGCAGCCGCAACCGCACGCTGCGGATCAACTTCTACTGGATTGATGGGATTTACAAAAATGGAGAATTCGGCTGCACGTGAGTTCTTCAAAATGGCTTTGAATGGGCTTTGACTGGCCTTAGAATGGCCTTTATATGGCCTTGCAATGGGATTTGACCTGAACATTCAGAAGGTGCTTCCCAGGTGGGGCGCATCTGGCCTTCCTGCTCACGGCGCAGTCAGATGGCAGAGTGAACCGGTGGCACGACAACCTACTGCTTTACGCGCGTGACGGCAGCAATCACACTTTAAAGATTGATTTCTACTGGATCGATGGGATCTATAGGAACGGCGAATTCGGGTGCACGTGAGTTCTTGAATGGGCTTTGTTGGTGTTGATTTGGCTTTGGTTGGGCTAGGTTTGGCTTGGTCTGGCTAGGTTTGGGTTTGGTTGGGCTAGGTTTGGCTTTGGTTGGGCTAGGTTTGGCTGCAATATCCCCACCAGCCGATCAGGGGAAGAATCCCCAGCATCTCCACCACTGGTTCCCCCTACTCCTCCCCCCTTCCCCAATAAAATTCCTCTCCCCTTCTCAAACCCCCTCCCCTCTCCCTCACCAGTCATCGCGGCCAGACCACCAACCGATCCGAGGCCTTCCCCGAAATCTCTCCCACGGCTGACGTGACGCTCTTTGAGGGAGGCTACTGGGCAGCTTCCTTCTGCCGCCAGCCCCTCAAGGCCCTCCGAGTGCACCTCGCGGAGTTCGCCCGCTGGGCGCTTGCCGCCGCGCCCGCAAAAGGCAGGGTTATTTTCCGAACTATCCCGTCGTTTCCGGTTGCGGGGGACTGGTGCAACGTGTTGTATCCGGGGCCGAGATCGAATAGGGTGGTTATGGCGATCAATGCGCTGCTGAAGCAGATCGTGCAAGGAGGGACAGAGAAGCTGGTGGCTCTTGATTCTAGCTTGCAGGTATTACCTGAAGACTCTGAGGAGGAGGGAAGAAACGCAAACAGGCCATCACCATCACCATCACCATCACCATCACCATCACCATCACCATCATCATCACCACCACCACCACCACCACCACCACCACCACCATCATCAGCCGAATCCGCTGAGCTGGCAGCATTACCCGCAGGGGCAGCAACAGTGCTGGACACATGGCAGGTGGACGCCCCTCGGTATGCCGACACAGCAGTGCCCAACGACCACCATTACTCCAAAGTGCAGGTTACAGAACAAGGTGCAGTGGTGGTGGGGGACGTGGGGGAGGCGCAAGTGCGGGTCTTCATTCATTACCTGCTGCACCTGCTTCCCCCAGTCCGTGCTAGCGCACTCTAGCTGCTCTGCCCTGCCCTGCTCCGAAACGGGTCTTCATTCATTACCTGCTGCACCTGCTGCCCCCACCCATTCCACGCTAGTTCTCTATAGCTGCTTGCATGCCCACAATGGAAGGCACAGTAATGGTGGGGTAGGTGGGGGAAGCCCAGAAACGGGTCTTCATTCATTACCTGCTGCACCTGCTGCCCCCACTGTCAGAATGAGGAATGAATGATGCATTGATGTTGGTTGAGGTACATATAGCTAACCCTAAGTTTTGTACCCCCTAAGACAATCCTCACTATAGGCTACAACATTTGACACACCCCCATAGCCTAAGTGAGGGGTGTCTAGCAGAACCAAAAGAGTACGGTCACAAGACCTGCCCAAGAAACAAAGCTCAGGGTGGATCACAACGTCACCACACACTCTGAGCACAAACACCAGTGGCCACAAGGCCAGTCCAAGAACTCACAAGATATACAGCAAATGTACAAGCAAGACAAACAGTCAACTCAAGTCTACACAAGACGAGAACCAGTGTCAACAAGGCCTAACTGCACACAGCACCTCTGGTGGTCACAAGGCGGAAGCACCTTGGTGAAGATGTCTGCAGTGTTGGCCTCGGACTCCACGAACTCGAAGCGAGCCTGTCTACGTCTCTGCAACTCTCGCAGAAGAAAGTACCTGACGTGAATGTGCTTCACTCTGCTCTCCAGTCGCGGCTCTCGACAAAGGAGAATCGACGCCTTGTTGTCAGTGAACAAGGTCGGTGCAGAGCTCGGCCGCTCACCAAGGTCGGCAAGCAAGAACGTCAACCAACGCAACTCCTGTGCCGCCATGGCACCAGCGTAGATCTCAGCCTCAGCTGTAGAGGTCGAGACCGAAGAGGAGCGCGTGGACCGCCAGGAAACAGCTCCAGAACCCAGGCTGAAACAGTACCTCTGAATAGACCTGTGAGTCTCAGCGTCGTCAGCGTAAGAAGAGTCACAGTGACCAGTAAGTACGACAGACTGCTGCCCTCCAAGAACTAGCCCCACGCCTGATGTCGTCGCTAGGTACTTCGCCACCCTCACAGCTGCTGTCCAGTGAACAGGACGGTGTCTCCCTGGCGCAACAAAACGCGCAAGGACGCTGAGAGGGAAGGCGAGGTCCGGGCGAGTACAAGTCATCAGGTACATGAGGCAACCCACCAGCTCTGCGTAGGGACCACTAGGCTCAAACGGCTCGTCAGGAAAGGGTCCAGTGAGTCTGTGGTCAACAGCAAGAGGTGTGCGCTGTACTGTGGAGTGCTGAAGCCCGAACCGCTGAAGGACCTGCTGCACCATGTGTGACTGTGAAAGTGTAATGGTGCGAGCAGCTCTGTCCCTGGTGATCTGCAGGCCAAGGTAGTGGCGCAGTTCACCAAGGTCACTACAGGTGTGTCTCTTCTGCAGTTCGGACTTCACGTCTGCCAAAGCAACCCTGTCAGCAGTGGCGAAAACGAGGTCGTCGACGTAGACCAGAACAAAGAACGGTGTGGAGCCGCGACGAACGAACAGCGACGGGTCGGCAGAAGACGGCTGGAACCCAAGGTCAGAGAGGGTAGAACGCAGAGTGTCGTGCCACTCACGAGGGGCCTGGCGAAGGCCATAGACAGGTCGCCTCAGCCTCCACTGGGTCTCAGGAGGGAAAGTGCCAGTGAAGGCAGAGGGACGACGCAGCCAGACCTCCTCGTGAAGACTGCCCTGAAGGAAAGCAGTGGAGAAGTCGAGAGAGTGTAACTCGTAGTCTCTCTGTGCTGCTACGTGCAGTAACACCCGAAGAGTGGTCATCTTCGGGGTAGGCGCAAAGGTCTGAAAGAAGTCAACTCCCTCGCGCTGACTGAAACCTCTAGCCACGTAACGCGCCTTGAAGACCGGGGGAGATCCCGGTGGTGTTTCACCCTGTAGATCCACATGCCATCGACTACGTTCGCCCCAGGAGGGGGAACCTCATCGACGTAGGTGCCTGTGGATCTGTAGGAGGCCATCTCTGCGTCCATGGCAGCTCTCCACTAAGAGGCCCAAGGCCCTGACACTGCCTCAGCGTAAGTGCGAGGAGTCGGAATGTCAAGGGCGTCTGGGTCACCCTCAGGGGCAAGGAGCATGGCACAGAGATGAGGGGAAGCGGCTGCCAGGAACTCTAGCTCAAACTGCCTGTCCTCTAGGGCGTCACAGCCAAGGGCAGACACACCCCCGACGGCCAGAGGACTGGAAGGAGGAGCAGCCACAAGACCGGTGGCGAAGTCAAGGCGGCGGGTAGAGGCAAAGTCAGTGACTGCGGCAGTAAGAGCGGACACAGAGGACACAGAGGCACGAGGGTGAGTAACAAGCGAGGCGAGAACACGAGAGAGAACAGGACGGTACGTGCGGTAGTAGTCAGTGACAGGAGTAGGGAGCGACGCAGTGAGAGCCGACTCAGGAGGAGACGGAAGCACAGACGGAGACGGACGAGGTGGACTAGAACGAAGTAAGGCAGTACGAAGGTCAGTGAAGGGAACAGGAGACGAGGGACGAGCACGAGGGGAGCGACGAGAGGCCCAAGTCTGAGAAGGAGGAGGGGACAACGAAGACTGAGAACGAGGGAAAACAGCGGGAGAGGGGTCAGGAGGAGGAAGCGGAGGACCAGAGATGGGAGGAGAGGGGGAGGAGGAAGGAGAGCGAGAGGGGAGACCAAGGGTCCGAAGACCCGAGACAGGAGGAGGAGGCGGCTGCTGCTGCTGCTGCTGCTACTGCTGCTGCTGCTGCTGCTGCTGCTGCTGCTGCTGCTGCTGCTGCTGCTGCTGCTGCTGCTGCTGCTGCTGCTGCTGCTGCTGCTGCTGCTGCTGCTGCTGCTGCTGCTGCTGCTGCTGCTGCCGCCGCCGCCGCCGCCGCCGCTGCTGCTGCTGCTGCTGCTGCCGCTGCCGCTCCTGCTCCTCCAGCCGCTGCAACTCTCGCTCCTCTCGCTCCAACTCCAGCTGCTCCTCACGAGCACGGCGAACACGAGCCTGGAACCTGGTCGGGTAGGGGTGGGGGGTAGTAGTAGTGTCCGGGGCAGCGGTAGCCCCAGAGTCCACCTCCGAAGCACCAGGCGCACCACCCCCAGAGTCAGCACCAACACCAGCTCCAGACCCAGACGCACCAGAAACCGAAGGGGTCGCACCCTCACCCCCAGACGCAGCACCCCCAGACTCAGCACGACCAGCACCAGCTCCCGGAAGACGAGAGTCCTCTGCAACCCGCGGCTCAGCTCCAACTCCAGCACCCCCAGAACCAGAAACCGGTACAGGGACAGTCTCAGTACCAACCTCTCTAGAGCGAGCACCTGCAGGACGCGGCGAGGAAGACTGTGGGGAGGGAGGCTGTACCGGAGGGGCTACCGAAGGGGGAGGGGTAGCCTGGGACACACCGGACGGGGCTGGACCAGGGGGGGGAGGCTGTACCGGGGGAGCAGGAGGGGGGGCGGCGGTTAGGAAGAGAGGGGGGGGAGGGACCGGGAGACCTCGACTGGGGTACCTGACGTAGTAGGGGGTGGACTCCTCGAAACGGACGTCACGGGAGTCAAAGAACCGGTGAGAGGGAGGGTGGTAAAAGGTGAAGTCAGAGGAGTCCTCAGGGAAACCAAGGAAGACACAAGGAACGGCGCGAGGCGAGATCTTGTCCGCGGAGGTGTCGCGGACAAGAGCCAAGCACCCCCAGACACGAAACCTCGACGCAACACCAGGGGACCCGGTCCAAAGACTGGTCGGTGAAGCCTCTGGCCGAGAGACGCGTGGCCAGAGGTTCAGCTGGTGCGCGGCGTACCTGACTGCGTATGGCCACAGGAAATGGGGGGCACGGGCGTGAGTCAGGGAGGTGCGGGCGATCTCCATGACCAAGCCTATGCGGCGCTCAGCAACCTTATTCTACTGTGGGGACTCTAGAAGCGTCCAGGACTGACGAATGCCCTGCTCGCGACAGAATCCAGCAAGAATGCCGGAGCGAAACTCACCCCCGCGGTCGGAGTGAAGACAGCTGACACGACGACCACGAGTGTCCTGCGTGGTAAGCAACCACCTGATCAGCGTAGAAGTCACCTCAGACTTCTTCGCCAGGGGAAACACTGTGGTGTAGCGGGAGTAGTCGTCAACGACCACCAGAAAGAAACGCTCACGCTCAGGGCCCTGACGAGAGGCAGGGCCCCAGACGTCCAAGTGGAGCGTCTCAAAAGGCTCGGTGGCCGGACGAAGGGAGGAGGAGTGAGGGGTGGCGCGCAGCCGACCCTCGACGCAGGGACCGCACGGCGGCGCAAGCGAAGGCGGCAGCGACGGCAAGACACGCGGGAGGCCTAAGACAAGACGCTGACGAGACATAGTGCGCAGACGAGGAAGGGACGGGTGCCCCATCCGGTGGTGCCACAGGACGGTGGGGTGGGCAAGGGACCGGCAGGAGCAAGACGCAGCGGAACCTGACCAGACACAGCTACCTGGGGGGAAGGAGCAACCCGGTGATACGCGGGGACTCGAACGGAGGGCGGAAGAGGGGCCGGGGGCAGTAGGAGCGGCTGCTGCTGCGGCTGCTGCTGCTGCGGCTGCTGCGGCGGCTGCTGCTGCTGCTGCTGGTGCTGCTGCGGCTGCTGCTGCGCCAGCGGGCCAGTGTGAAGAGTGTAGAGACCGGAGCCCGGCTCAGCTGTAAAGGTGGCAAGGGGCCGGTAAGAGCCCTCGTCAACACACACCGCTGTCTCACCCGAAAACCACACACCCACGTGCTGGCTCACAAGGGGTCGTACGCCCACCAAGTTCCTCGAGAACGAGGGGACGTGAAACCCAGTGAGAGACCCGGAGGGAGCAGCAGGACACGGCAAGGTAGTAGTGTGACGCGCTGTGACCGGTCCCGAGGTGGGATCAGCCAACGCCACGGAGACAGGTGCAGGAAGTGGTGTAAGTGTCGTGCTGTCACGAAAGAAGCAGTGCGAGGCTCCAGAGTCCAGCGTGAACGACAGCGAAGTGTCCTCCGAGGTAGGCGCTGGACTAGAGTCTACACAAGAACCTACACTAGCAACAGGCAACTGAGCAAGACTAGCACCTAAGCTAACAACACCAGAGTAAACAGAGTCAGAAACACTAGAGTCAACAACAGCATACAAAGCATGAGGAGTTCCAATCAGATCTGCTAACTGCTCAGCAGACATGCCCCACAGAGCGGAGCCGTAACGCTGAACAAGAGGAAGCCAGTCAAGGGCAGGACCGCCAACCCCGTAGACCAAACGAACCGTGTCAGTGAGCTGAGCAAAACACTGACCAGGGGGGTGAAAGCGACCACAAGGGTGGCCTCGGCGAGAACCTGTCAGAACCTGATAGGTGCAGGGAGGGTAAGCAGCACCGCGCTGGGGCTGACGCAGCCCCGACCCCGGAGCCAGCTGCGGCCGCTGCTGCTGCTGAGGCTGCTGGGAGGAGAGGGGCTGCTGCTGCTGCTGACGCTGGGCCTGGTACCACGCCGCTGCTCCACCCACCGGGGCCGGCAGTACGGGAGGCGACTGACGAACTCGGGCGTCGCCACCACCAGCAGGCGCAGTAGAGTCACCTGTCGCTGCACGAGACGTCTCTCCAGGTCCTGCACTCCCACCACCGCCAGTCGCAACGCCACCTCCACCACCTCCGCCTCCACCACCACCAGAACCGCCCTTCTTGCCACCCCTACCGCGGGACCGCGACGCAGTCGTAACAGCAGCTGCAGTCGCGTCAGTAGCGGCAGTGGCGAGAGAGGCAGTAAAGGTGGGTAACTGCGGGACTGTGCACCCGTGGAAGAGTGGGGGGGGCACAGCACCAGAGGCAGCGGCTACCGAGCGAAGGTTGCTCTCGACGTCCTTGAGCGCAGACTCAAGGACCTCGACGGTGAGCTCACTAGGGTGCTTCAGCAGAAGCACGTCACGAACGGAGGCAAGGCGGTCAGGGAGGCTAGTGGCGATGAAATAGATAGTAATCGCCATAGGGGGAGGAAGCAGTGCAAGCTGTGCCTCAGTGCAAGCAGCGCGGTAACTAGCGTCGAGCGAGCGGAGGTGAGCGATCAAGTCAGTAGAGCGCTCAAAAGACGCTAGGTCACGAAACAAGAACGGGAGGAAAAGGCGGCCAAGAGAGACAGTAGTGGGAGTAGAGTAGCGGGCCTTAATCGCAGTGAGGTACTCAGCAGCGGTGCGAACCTGAGTGAAGTGAACCTCCTCAGACTCAGGGAGGAGGCTGCTGAGCGCGATGCAGGCCGCAGCGTCACGCGACGTCCAAGCCGTCTGGTCAGCTCGCTGGGTGGCAAAGTGAGCTCTAGCGGCGTCGTCAGGGGCAGGTCCTAAAGGCGTAGGGTCGGGGGGCGCAGGGAGGGCACCAGTAGCGTGCGCCCAGAGGGTCTCGCCTGCCTGGACCTGACTCTCTAACAGACGGCGAGCGCGAAGAAGCCAGACGGAAAAATCAAGAGGTCTACCGTCAGCGTCGAAACGAAGTACACGCTGAGTCGCCATAGCGGAAACGAACGCAACAGTGTCGGTAGGAGACAGCAGTAGGCGAGTGGGAGACTAGGGTTAAGCAGTACCCTTGGACAACGGAAGTGAACGACGGACGAAGCAGCAGGCAACGGGAGCGGACGCAGCGGTGGAAAACGGAAGTGGGGCGCAGCGGCGACGCGCGTGGGGGCGGCCAGGGCGACGGGCTAGGGCGCGGGCCTGGGCGACGGGCTGGGGAGCAGGCCTGGGCGACGGGCTAGGGCGCGGGCAGGGGCGACGGGCTAGGGCGCGCGCCTGGGCGACGGGCTAGGGCGCGGGCCTGGGCGACGGGCTGGGGAGCAGGCCTGGGCGACGGGCTAGGGCGCGGGCAGGGGCGATGGGCTGGGGCGCGGGCCTGGGCGACGGGCTAGGGCGCGGGCAGGGGCGTCGGGCTGGGCCGCGGGCCTGGGCGACGGGCTGGGGCGCGGGCCTGGGCAGCGACGCGACGCGACGGGGGAAAGCGACGCGACGGGAGGAGGGGGACGGGCGCGACGCGACGGGGGGAAACGCGACGCGACGGGAGGAGGGGGGGGGACGGGCGCCACGCGACGGGGGAAAGGGGACGGGCGCGACGTGGCGGGGGAAAGCACCGCGATGAAGGGGAGCGGGGCAAAGCTAACACTATCGCGGAAGGGCCGGCGCTAGGCTCGGTAGCTACAGGAACGGGACGTATGAGAGCGAGGATCAGGCTCGGGAGAAACGAACGATGAACGGAGGAACGGGATCCCACAGGATCCTAACCTAACTGATACCATGTCAGAATGAGGAATGAATGATGCATTGATGTTGGTTGAGGTACATATAGCTAACCCTAAGTTTTGTACCCCCTAAGACAATCCTCACTATAGGCTACAACATTTGACACCCACCCATTCCACGCTAGTTCTCTATAGCTGCTTGCATGCCCACAATGGAAGGCACAGTAATGGTGGGGTAGGTGGGGGAAGCCCAGAAACGGGTCTTCATTCATTACCTGCTGCACCTGCTGCCCCCAGTCCGTGCTAGCGCACTCTAGCTGCTCTGCTCTGGTCCGCGCTGCTCTCCCGAACCAACGACCACCATTACTCCATGGTGCAGCCAACAGAAGGAAGCACAGTGGTGGTGGGGGGCGTGGGGGCGGTGCAAGTGCGGGCCTTCATTCACTACCCGCTGCACCTGTTTTTTTGAGACATCTCAAAAGCCTTCAATCGCTACCTGCTGCACCTGCTGCTTCCACTCCATGCTTAGTGATCGACCGGTGATGAAGGTACGCTGCCTAGTTTCCTGACACGAAGCTCTGACAGTTTGGATTCTGACAGTTTGGATTCTGACAGTTTGGATTCTGACAGCAAGGTTTTTTTTCCTGTCAACCGAGGAGAGGAGTGGTGCTGGTTATGGCGAGAAGAGCGGAGAAGAGGAGAGCAGAGTGGCAGGCATGGAGGTGTGGAGGTGTGGAGGCATGCAGAGCAAAGCCACCACACCACAAGCAGTGCATTCCGCTGAATATATCTCTCCCCATATCAACCAAGGACTAGTGCTGGTCACAGCGATAAGAGGGGGAGAGAGGAGAAGCAGAGTGGCAGAGCAGAGTGCAGACTGCACTGCACTGCAATGCACCGCAGTTCACCGCACCACACAGCCATTGACCGGAAGATGCCGGAAGATGGGTTGGAGAGAATCCAACCATGATGAATGAAGTGGGGGGAGGTAGTGTAATGAATGAAGGCGCACACTCAAGCAGGCCCACACTTGAGCCTCCCCCAATTCCCCCACCATCACTGTGCCTTCTTCTGCTGGCCGCACCATGGTGTAATGATGGTCGTTAGTTGGAGACAGAGCAGAGCAGAGCAGAGCAGAGCAGAGCAGAGCAGGGCAGAGCAGGGCAGAGCAGGGCAGAGCAGGGCAGAGCAGGGCAGAGCAGGGCAGAGCAGGGCAGAGCAGGGCAGAGCAGGGCAGAGCAGGGCAGAGCAGGGCAGAGCAGGGCAGAGCAGGGCAGAGCAGGGCAGAGCAGGGCAGAGCAGGGCAGAGCAGGGCAGAGCAGGGCAGAGCAGGGCAGAGCAGGGCAGAGCAGGGCAGAGCAGGGCAGAGCAGGGCAGAGCAGGGCAGAGCAGGGCAGAGCAGAGCAGAGCAGAGCAGAGCAGAGCAGAGCAGAGCAGAGCAGAGCAGAGCAGAGCAGAGCAGAGCAGAGCAGAGCAGAGCAGAGCAGAGCAGAGCAGAGCAGAGCAGAGCAGAGCAGAGCAGGGCAGAGCAGAGCAGAGCAGAGCAGAGCAGAGCAGAGCAGAGCAGAGCAGAGCAGAGCAGAGCAGAGCAGAGCAGAGCAGAGCAGAGCAGGGCAGAGCAGAGCAGAGCAGGGCAGAGCAGAGCAGAGCAGGGCAGGGCAGAGCAGAGCAGAGCAGGGCAGAGCAGGGCAGAGCAGGGCAGGGCAGGGCAGGGCAGAGCAGAGCAGAGCAGAGCAGGGCAGAGCAGAGCAGAGCAGAGCAGGGCAGAGCAGCTAGAGTGTGCTCGCTGTGGAGTGGAGGGAGCACATGAAGCAAGTAGTGAATATGAAGCACACTCCATGTGCTCCCTCCATGAGCACATGAAGCAGATAGCGAATGAAGGCGCGCTCTTGAGCCTCCCCCACTTGAGCCTCCCCCACTTGAGCCTCCCCCACTTGAGCCTCCCCCACGCCCCCATCCATCACCGTGCCTTCTTCTGTGGGTTTCACCATGGAGTAATGATGGTCGTTGGTGGGGAGAAAAGAGTAAGCAGCTAGAGCACATGAAGCAAGTAGTGAATGAAGGCGCGCACTTGAGCCTCCCCCACTTCTCCCACCATTACTGTGCCTGCTGCTGTGTGATTCACCATGGAGTAATGGTGGTCGTTGGGCATGGCTGTGTCAGCATACCGAGGGGCGTCCACCTGCCACGTGTCCAGCACTGTTGCTGCCCCTGCGGGTAATGCTGCCAGCTCAGCGGATTGCACTTCTGCTGCTGCTGGTGGTGGCGATGGCAGTGGCGAGACTGTTGTTGATGGTGATGAAGAAAATGATGATGACCCACTGCCACTGTCACCACTGCCACTGTCACCACTGCCACCAGCACCACCACCATCACCCCCATCACCGCCAGCAGCACCAACAGCTGCAGCAATCTCATCCGCCTCTTCAATATCTACTGATCCTTTGCCCTCCGCTGTTCCATTCATCTCACCTCCTGCTCTCTCCCCGCCTTCCCCCTCCTCCTCAGAGTCCTGCGGTAGCACCTGCAAGCTCGGATCAAGATACACTAGCTTCTCAATCCCTCCTCCGCTTCTCCTCCCTCCCCCACCACCATCTCCCCCTCGTATCCCTCCTCGCCACCATGCCTTCAAACCCTCAACAAAACTCCCCTCTCCCCCCACTCCTCTCCCCTCTCCCCCCACTCCTCCCCCTTGCACTATCTGCTTCAGCAGCACATTAATCGCCATAACCACCCGGTTCGAACTCGGCCCGGGGTACCACGCGTTACACCGGTCCCCAGCCACGGGAAACGACGGGATAGTTCGGAAAATAACCCTGCCTTTAGCGGGCGCGGCGGCAAGCGCCCAGCGGGCGAACTCCTCGAGGTGCACTCGGAGGGCCTTGAGGGGCTGGCGGCAGAAGGAAGCTGCCCAGTAGCCTCCCTCAAAGAGCGTGACGTCAGCAGTGGGGGAGATCTCAGGGAATTCCTCTGATCGGTTCGTGGTGACGCCCCGGTGACTGGTTGTGGGGGAGAAAGGGAGAAGGGGCGCAGTGGAAGGAGTGGGAAGGGAGGGGAAGAGGGATCGGTTGCTGCCATCGTGCGCGTTGAATCAACGCAAAGTTTATCCTGCCAACGCTTCGTGCTGCGGTCCGAATGCTTCTGAAGAATGCCTCCGGATGTTCAAGCTCATTAAAGCCCTTTCAAAGCTCATTCAAGCCCATTCAAGCCCATTCAAAGCCCATTCAAAGCTCATTCAAAGCCCATTCAAATCCATTCAAAACTCCTTCAGATACTCACGTGCAGCCAAACTCGCCGTTCTTGTAAATCCCATCAATCCAATAGAAATTAATCCGCAGCGTGCGGTTACTGCTATCCCGCGCATCAAACACGAGGTTGTCCTGCCACCGCCGCACGTTTGGGTCCGCCTGGGCCGTGAGCAAGTAGTACAGATGTGCCGCCAGGAACCGCTGGTGACTGTCGCCCACGATGCTCATCTCCCGAATGCCCCTGGCGTTGAGAGCGCCTATCCACTCGGATGGGGGGATCTCGGGGGCCGTGCACTGGTAGAACGCCCACCTGAGGGGATGGAGGGAGCGGGAAGGACGAGGGTGGGAGGGAGGTAGAGGGTGAGACATGAGAAACGGTGCTGCCAGGCCAGCGCTTCACATCCCTGTCCGCCTGAGCCATGAGCAGTGAGGAAGTACAGATGTGCCGCCAGGAACCGCTGGTGGCTGTCCCCCACGATGCTCATCTACCGAATGCCCCTCTCGTTGACAAGTGTGTTTTGAGTCGACTCAGAACACATTGGGAGGGGAAAAGGGGGGAGGGGGTGGGGGGGGTGGGATGGTGCGCTGCTAGAAACCGCAGGTGACTGTCCCCCACGATGCTCATCTACCGAATGCCCCTCTCGTTGACAACTTCTGTCCAGTCGAGATGGGGAGCCTCAGGGAGCGTTTATTGGTAGAAAGCCCTCCTGATACACGCACCCATCTGCACCCCTCTGCACCCATCTGCACCCATCTGCACCCATCTGCACCCATCTGCACTCATCTTTACCCATTTACACATTCCTGAGTGACCCTTCTGCCTTCACCACCCATCGCCCCGCACTCACAGAAACACCTGAGTGACGTCCCATTGCCTGGCATGTCCGGCCAATCCTGCACCCCCCACATACACACGCTTCACCCATCTGCACCCATCCTCACCCATTTACACATACCTGAGGGACCCATTCGCATTCACCACCCATCGCCCCGGCACGGACGTGCCATTGCACGGAGTGTCCGGCCAATCCGGCACCCCCTCCTGCTCCTCCTCCCCCTCTTCAAACCCTCCCCCTTCCCTGGGTCCCGTCCCCCCCTTTTCCCCGCCTGCTGCTTCTGTATAAGCGACGGCTGTGGCGGTGATACGTCTGCTGCTGTCCGCTGAGCTGCTGCTGCCAACGCCGTTGCTGCTGTCGGCTGTGCTGCTTCTGGCTAGGGCTTCGCCACGAGGCGTGATTGTGATTGGCCAGGAGGCGAGGCTGTGCTGGTGCGTGCGGTTGAAGTGGTGCGCGAAGGAGGCGGAGAAGTTGAGATTGGCGCACCCCACGTGCAGCGTCGCCCTGCGGGGGAGGAGGATTGGGGAACCATGGGGAAAGCATGGGGGAAGCATGGGGGAAGCATGGGGGAAGCATGGGGGAAGCATGGGGTAAGCAAAGGGGGAAAGCATGGGGGAAGCATGGGGGAAGCATGGGGGAAGCATGGGGAAAGCATGGGGTAAGCAAAGGGGGAAAGCATGGGGGAAGCATGGGGGAAGCATGGGGGAAGCATGGGGGAAGCATGGGGGAAGCATGGGGGAAGCATGGAGGAAGCATGGGGAAGCATGGGGGAAGCATGGGGGAAGCATGGGGGAAGCATGGGGGAGACAAAAAGAAAAAAGGCGCAAGCGAGGGAGGAAGGCGTTGGGTGCAAAACGGATGTTGGAAGTCTACACGAGGGGCAAAGGGGTTGTGAGGGATTTGAGGCGGTGCGGGGGAAACAGCAGCTGGGAAGATTGGTGAGTGGATGAACTACTTCACTTCGTGGCGCTTCGAGATTAGGCTCACCAGTAATTTCCGAGGTCCCACACGCGGTACGAGACTCTAAATTCCGTGCAGTGCGGAGGGTCTAGACACCTAATGTCCCCGTGGGCTAGCGCGACGCCTCTTAAAGTGAGAGCTAAGTCGCGCTTCCACCAGCTCTCCTTGTCCGCCTCCAGCACGTGCGCCCAGCGCGCGGGCGCGCGCACGGACACGCGGAAGGAGCAGCGCTGCCCGCGCAGACACGTGGCACAACCTGGGCCGTGGATCACCACTCCCGAGGGGGACGGGGATGAATAGTCTGCAGAGTGATTTCAAGGCCATGGGAAGCAAGAGAAAGGGAAAGGGGTGTCGCATGAGAGAGAGCGTATTTTCAGGCTCCCGTGAAAATCTCCCGAGGGGGACGGGGATGAATAGTCTGCGGAAAAACATGGATACGAGAGGCAAGAGAGGGGGAAAGAGGGGTCGCATGAAAATCATATTTTTAGGTGCTGCGAAAATCCCGAGGGAGGAGGCGACGCATAGTTTGCGGAGTCATATGAATATGAGAAGGGAGGGGGTAGGGAAAAACTCATGAGAGCGGTAATGGGGGGAACTGGGCCGTTGCTGCTCTGAACGTCGGCCGCACACCTATCTCTTCTGCGATTTGCGTAAATCGGAAGGCGATGAGCGCACATGACGTTCAGCATACTCGTCGTCGCTCTTTTATCTGTGTTACTGAGACGTCTCACAACTCATATTTTCCATGCTATTAAATCTTAGCTCCTTATGAGGCGCCTAAAAAATACGCAGCTCATATTTTCCATGCTATTTGAAATCTTACCTCCTGACGACGTCCAGCATACTCGTCGTCGCCTCAGCGGCGCTACGCTGCCATCGGAGACGCCAGCGGCGGTAGCGTCAATCGTGGCGGGTGCACTGCTTTGGAGCACGGCGTCACTGCGCGGAGGTTGAGGGGAGGTTGGCGGAAAAGTGCGGGGAGGTTGCGCACGTGGGGGGGAAATTGGGGGCAAGGGAGGGGGGCATGCGGATGAGTGAACAAGAAGAAAGAGTACGGAGCAGAGTCTCAGGGACTATCGTCTGCAATCGGCTTGACAAGGCACCTTGAGCAGCCAAATCACATGAGTATGAGACAGACGATCCGAAAAAAAAAAAAAAAAAAAAAGATTTAGGAAAACCTGAAGGCTGGGTTAGGTCTAACACGCTTAGCTGCTAACCACGTACTTAAATGGGCTCACGGCAAAATCTCCAGGTTCGTCTGAAGCGTGGGCGACAAGCAGCGACTTTCGCAGCTGCATGGTAAAAAGTGGGCTCCATTCGCCGCGTAACCTTCCGCTCGCTCCCCCTGCTGCCGCCAATTCCGCTCCCGCATCGGAATTGGCGACCCGTGGCGATAGCGATTCGGCTATAACGAGTACGAGGAGGCACAGGTTGACGGAAACGAGCACGTAATGAAACCAGTCCATGGAATACCCCATTCGATGGCTCCTCTCCTCGTTTGTAGACCCTCCCGGTTTAATCCCGAGAGCCGTCATTATGTGCGAAAATACACTAGAGACGCGTGAGAGGGGTGACGCTGAGGACGTTGGCGAAGGTACGGGGAGTGCATGCGACGATCGCGAACTGAGCGAAGATGCGTGCGACGCAGAGTCCGCAATCGAAGTGCGAGTTTCTAGACCGATCGAGTGATACCCGTGTCCGTTTAACCTACCCATGACTCCTACCGGGCACCTCTTCTGAGCAGAGAAAGAAGAGCGCCTCGAGTATGAAGAAACAAGTGTTAGGTTCGAAACCAATAAAACTTCTCTCTTTGCAAGGTTCAGGACCAGCGAGTTCCTTGATTAGAAAGCATCTGGGCTAAACGGAGAACTGAACGAAGGCAACTGATAGTCGATGTGTAGCGCTCGAATCCAAGCCACAACCAATGGAGGTGATAACTAGAACTCTCGAGATAGTTGGTGCACGTGTTCTGCCTTGGCACACCAACGCTCCTACCCCCAAAACTTTCTCCTAGGTGGAATCTCTCAGGCAAGCTCTCAATTTACTTCTGCCCTCCATTACCGCAGTCCTCCGAGCCGAGAGAAGAACAAACATCGGCGCGCCGCTCGATTCTCGAAGCGCTAGCGGTATGGCGACAGCGCCAATCTACGCCGTCGAAACTGACGAGCTCCGTTGGGGTACAATTCAAGGGCGAGAATGACTAGACGACCTGGATGGAACCAAGTTCAAGGAATGCAGAGGGGTCTTGATTCGTCGGCTTGTAAAACAGTGCGGGCAGAACCAGTGAAATGCAGTGAACATTTTGTCGGGAAAACCGTTTATTTTGTCGTACACTTGGCACCAAAAGCCGTCTCGTGTTTGGTGCGTTACCGGCACGGTGCCGGAAATGAATTTCTCGGGCACATTGTTGACGTGCCCAGAGGCTGGCCTGGCTGGGACTTCTGCCATGGATAGCCCATCAGCTTCCCACCACCTACCACGCGTCGCTATTGGTTAACTTGGCCCCTGCTGGTCCGGTAAACCAAGCCTACTCACCAGCTTCGTTTTGGCAGGGGATTTCGTGAATGGACGCTGAGCGCAGCAACGTGCTGTCATCGAAACGGAGGACGAGATTCGTGATGTTGCGACTGGGATCGACGCGGCAGCCACCAAGTCAGAGATGGCGCCTTCCACGGCCAGATTTGTGAAGCGATTGAGGTTTGACGAATCGTCAGACTTCGCGAAATGTTACACGTTTCAACCAGATACTGTCAAAGTTCATTGAGTGAAGATCTCCACACTGGCATACATTTTGTTACTAACCAAACTGGACTCATAGCCAATTCGGTTTAACACAATTGTTACTAACCATACTGGTCCACCCATATACCATACCAGCTTGTACTAGCACAAAGGTTCAGTTGATGTCTTTCAATCTATACTATATTGCTCCTTGAGATGGCTGAGGCGCTCAACAGATAGTAACAAATTCAATCACACATGACACAATTCTTGTGGTACCATATGTCCCTTAAACAATAGCTGTAAGATGGACATAATGAAGGCCTTACAACATAGTCATACTTCTTGCCATATTATTGTGCAGGCCTTGTCTGGCCTGTGCACAAAGGGACTCTGCACAGCTTTCCAGGCTGAACAAGAAGCATTCTTTTTGCCACTCTCAATGGTGACAGCCCCAAAACACACCAGCGCTGTGACCGCTGATGCCACTCCCTCTGGGCCCTCTCCTCCTGCAACCACTCCCAATCACCATCCCACTCATCCTCACCGTTCCACGCCTCCTCCCCTACTCTCTTCTCACCTTCTGGTTCCAACTCCACTCCCCCTTGCACCGTTGGCACATCTCCACCTGTCCTCTGCTGCGACTCCTGTGTATCCTGCGAAATCTCTAGATTGTCCTGATCCTCTAAATCAGAGCCTCCTCCTTTACTGTAAGAATTGCAATCCAAACCGTTATCAGCTTTTGTTGCCATCACTCTTCGTAACACTGGTCTTGCTCGGACCTGCAGTCTGTCTAGGGACGAAAGTGCGTCGGGCAAATTTTGCAAGCTGTCGCATCCCTCCAGGTCTAGCAGTCGAAGATTTATTAGCTGCCCGAGATTCTCGGGCAGTCGCACCAAACGAAAGCAATCAGTCAAGAGGATCTGCTCCAGGCTGCTGAGCCGGCAGAGGAACTCCGGCAGTGCAGTAAGGGCGGCAGAACCAGACAGATTCAACAGCTTCAGTGACGTCAGCTGGGTGATGCTCACAGGAAGGGATGAGAGATGACGGCAGCTCGTGACAGCCAGGCATTGGAGTGACTTCAGCGCGAACAGGGCGAGCGGCAGAGCGCGAAGAAGCGGCCAATGGGACAGCTCCAGGTGTTTCAGGGAAGAAAGCTGCCCCATGGACTCGGGCAGGTGGGCTAGACAGGAAATAGAGGAGATCTTGAGGGTGTGGAGGCTCGGTAGCTGCCCGAAATCTGCGGGAATCGAAGCAAAACTTTTGCAGAAGCAAACCTCAAGAGACTGGAGGCTGATGAGGTGGACAAACGAGGGCGGGAGGCCAATCAGCGACTCACACGTGTTAATCTCCAGCGACTCGAGTCGGCTAAGGAAACCTATATCTTCAGGGAGGCTAACTATCCGCGGGCAGTCTTTAATACTCAACAGCTGGAGCCGTGTCAGCTGATAGACCGACGTAGGTAGCTCAGTTAGCCTCTTGCATCCATGGAGGCGCAGCGCTTCGAGATTTGGCAGCTGCCCGAGAGATTCCGGCACCGTTTCTAGACTAAACACGCTGTGAAGCTGCAGGGACTGTAAAGAAGAGAGCTGCCCGAGATTCGCAGGCAGACGGCTGATTCGCATGCAGTAAGTGATGGAGAGGAAGGAGAGCGCGGGCAGGTTGCATAGAGAGTCGGGTAGCTGCGCAAGCCCGCAGTCAGTCACGTGCAGCCGTGTCAGCTGTGACAGCTGCCCGAGAGTCTCGGGCAGGGATCGCAAAGCGCTGCAGCCAATCTGAAGATCGCGCAGGTTCGTCAGCTCGCCGAGGCTATCCGGCAGCGCGGTCAGGTTCGGAGCCTGCAGCTTCGGAAACTGGAGGCTCGGCGGCGCGCTGGCGTCGTTCGGTATGCTCCACTTGTAAACCGAATCGGCATCCAACGGTCCCCCGCCGATCCGCGCGAGCTCGAGAAACGACGCTGGTCGAAGGGAGATGTTTGGCGCGCAGTGCAGACCAAACTCTTCTAACCGCGGGCAGGCCCGAAAAAGCCTATCCAAGCCCGCTTCTGTGATTTCGGAGTAGAGAGCTGCTTCCGCCGTCGACTCGGCGGGCATTGCTTCTTCCGCTTCTGGCAGTTCTTGGTGTTCCTCCGCTTCTTGCGCGACCCGCTCACGCGATGTATGCGCATCGTCCGCGTGACGACTGCTGACGGCGCCTTGAATTGCTGGAGGTCGCACTGTTCCGAAGCGGAAGGAAGCGAGAGTCGCGCCGCAAGACGCGCCGATTCGGTCGAGGAGGTCGTCACCCACGCTGTCGACACTGCAGTTGGGGAGATGGATGCGCGAAAGGTTGCGAAACTGCGCGATGGCTTTCGCGAGCTGTCGGGAGGACGTTTCGCGGGTTTCGCGAACGACGAGGGCGGTTTGAGCGGGACGCGCGATTTCGAGCCATCGGTTACAGGTAACCGCGAGGGAGAAGGTGTCGCCGTGCGATCCTATGCGAGCGAAGATCATGCGAAGGATGTCGTCCGGGAGACGCGGTAATGGTGGATTAGGGTCATCAGTGGGCATGGTGACGACGAAGGAACGATTATCTAGCAGATAAATGAACCACTCCGACTTGGAGAGACTGTCTAGAGCCTATGGCATTGAGCGTCCGTAAAGAGCGGATAGTACGAATGGAGATGGCTGAAGAACGAAGGTGAGGACGAAAAACTGTCGAAGAGTTTCATCAGGTGCTTCACTCCACGATCTATTACCGGAGTGAGTGGTGTTGGGGGCGAGGTAAGGTGATGAGAAAATGGGGCGATTCGCACCCAACACGCGGCCTAGTGTTTCCCGTATTGGTTTGGGTTGGGCTGGTGGGGTTTGGAGAACGGGACGGGGTGCGGCGCGTGCGAACAATGTCTTGTAAATGTACTGTTATCTGTGCAAATTACGGACTGCTGCTATGTCTTGAAGCTGAGGGTTACAACAATGTTGAGCCGTTAGATCGTATTAATCGAATCGACAGCTGCAATCACACGGCACCCCCTTGCTCCTTGAACCCCAAACCCAACAAAGCAGCTTGGAAGCTGCCGTACATCCGCTGCCACGTCAAGCAAAATGCCAAACCACCGTCGTCCTTGCCTGAACGATGCGATGCGACGGAATGCGATCAGTCCCATTCCATCATCTTTGCTGCAAACTTGAGCAAAACTGGCTCGCCATGTCGCGAGCTGGAGAACAAAGTCGCCGAGTCGCCAGAGGAAACATGCGACAGCTTGCCTAGAGATGATTTTATCGACGCTCCTATAACGAGGGGCAATTACAAAATCACTCGCGACTCGTACGGACCTTGAGCATTTGGTTGGCAAGCCATTGGCAGTTCTGCAAACATACTCCTGCACATGTCACCCACCCACACTTGCACTTCTCTAAGCGCGGCTTGCAATCAAGCACTACCCAGTTGCAAATGCGTACAGTCACACCGTTAGAGGAACATTATAGCAATAAGTGCGGGAAAGCCCATTGATCGGAACTCGTGCTCATAAACGGAGCATATTCCTAACAATATATTTTTGTAGCTAAAGTGTTGTTAATGAAGCGTCGTACGGCGAGAATATACGCAGACATGGAATCCCTGCACGCAATGCGTGAAGGGTTTTTGTTTGCTTCAACTATTCCCTCCCACACAACCCTAGTCAGTACCAGCCGGAATCTCGACAGCAAGGTCTAGAGAGGCTAGAGGCAGAGATTCTTAGTTTCTAGACTCAAGTCTGTAGACCCGAAGACCAAACGGCTGTGCTTCTCGTCTCCTAACTCCTCGTGTATTCACCAGACGCGCAATCGATAGCGGAAAACTATCCTAGACCTTACGTGTCCGTAGCGCGGTTCCGATGGCGTCAATGGAGCCGGACGTTTCGGCGCCGGCCGGCATGTTTACCGTCCAGCAGACGCCGTCCACCGTGCTGTGCTGCCTGTGCGGCACGGCCATGCCGCCCAACCCGACCGGCATGTGCCCCGGCTGCATCCGCACGCACGTCGACATCACCGAGGGCCTCCCGCGCCGCCTGTCGGTGATGCGCTGCCCGCCGCCGTGCGGAAGGTTCCTCGCGCCGCCGCGCGCGTGGATCCGCGCGGAGCTCGAGTCTAAGGAGCTCCTCACGTTCTGCCTCAAGGTGCGAAGCCAGTTGAGTGGGGTCGAATTGAGTCGAGTCGATTCGAGTCGAGTTATGTCGAGTCGACTCGAGCCAAAATCTCAAGCCCCTGCGCCATTGCGCGCGGAGCTCGAGTCGAAGGAGCTCCTCACGTTCTGCCTCAAGGTGTGTGCCGTACTTATTTCCCAATAATTGCCACCAGTAAACTTGCATCCTTTCGTTCTCCCGTTTCTCTTAGCGCGCGCCGCTTGCCTATTCGCGCATAAATTCGCGTATTATAAAATGTAGATATATTCGCTCAAGAGATTTCCGCGGGTATAGATGTGCATCCGCGTTAAGCGTCAGTGTGCTCACACTAGCAAGCAGTCCTGCTCTCAGCCCTTGCGCTTTTTTGAAGCGCCTTTCAAATTCAGTGGATTCGCCAACATGAGCAGTAGTTCACCCAAACCCCAATGGCAAAGCTCGATGGCAAACCCTGATTTTCTTTAGGCGCGCTGTCGCCCAGTCGCCCAGTCGCGTACCTGCTCCCGCCTACCGCGCTCGCACGCGGTACGCAGGGCCAATCGATTCTCGTGGACGCGTTTACCTGCCGAAACCCCTCTAAAACCCTGCGCTTCCCTCTTGCCAATTTGCTCTCCTGAGCGTACCACGTCTCTTACCCGACGGTGGCACAGTGTAAGCGCATGAAGAATGCGAGCTAGGCGAAGTGGCGGACACATGCACTTGCCAAAACCTTTTCCCTTAACCCCCTGTGTTCCGCTGTTCCTTCCCTCCCCGCACTGCGTGCCATGTGTGTGTGTGTGTTACCATGTTACTGTGCTACCTTGTGTCACTGTAACAGCGCATGAAGAATCTGAACAAGGTGAAGCTGGTGGACGCCTCCTTCATCTGGACCGAGTCCATTCTCTCCCTTTCTCCCCCTGACTGCGTACTGTGTGTGTGTGTGTGTGTGTGTGTGTGTGTGTGTGTGTGTGTGTGTGTGTGTGTGTGTGTGTGTGTGCGCTACCATGTTACCCGGCTGCAACACCAGCGCATGAAGAATCTGAACAAGGTGAAGCTGGTGGACGCGTCCTTCATCTGGACTGAGCCACACTCCAAGCGAATCAAAATCAAGGTACGACTTTCACCTGTTGAATCTCCAGTCTCCGCTGCTAAAACCTTTGTGGCGCCCCACAAGTAGCCTCCCTCCTTCATCTGGACCGAGCTGAGCTGCACTCCAAGCGAAATTGAAGCCAAGCTACTGCATATGTCTGCTGAACCTTTACTGATACGCTTGAGGCGCTTTAAAAGTTGTTTTTTTTTTTTTTTTTTTTTTTTGTCTGGACCGAGCCTCACAGAAGGAAGTTGCCAGTGTGACGGTGCTGCAGCAAGTCTTCGTGAAAGAGTATGTGGTGGAGGATCACATGCGTGACGTGTGCACACGGTCAGGTCAGCAGTCAATCCTAACCCGAATGTACACCTGTACCTTAAACCCTGTTACCTGAACCCCTTTTTTTTCCCAGGTGACGATTCAAAAAGAGGTGCTATCAGGGGCCGTTCTCCAGCAGACGTTCGTGACGGAATACGTGGTGGAGGACCACATGTGTGATGCGTGCACGCGGTCAGCCGCCAACCCTGACTTGAAATCCTGATTTCTTTTGTTTCCTACCTGTGCTCCCAGGTGACGATCCAAAAAGAGGTTTTGTCGGGCGCTGTGCTGCAACAGACGTTCGTGACGGAATACGTGGTGGAGGACCACATGTGTGATGCGTGCACACGGTCAGCTGCCAACCCCGACCAGTGGGTGGCGGTGGTGCAGCTGCGGCAGAAGGCGGAGCACAAGCGCACGTTTCTCTTCCTGGAGCAGCTTATATTGAAGCATGGTGCCGACGCCAACACCATCAACATCCGCCAGGTGCGATGCGAGCTTGCAGCCAGGTGACTTGTGAGTGAGAGGGCAGAGGGCAGGGGGCGGAAGGCGGAGCACAAGCGCACCTTACCTCCTGCTAATAGCATTGACTTTGAAGACAGACATTTGACTAGTAGTCAACACCAGTCAACTCTTACCCCTACCCCCCCTCGCAGGTGCACGACGGCATTGATTTTTACTATGCCAACCGCTCCCACGCGCGGACTCGACATTAGTCAATGGTGGTCAACGCTAGTCAACACCCACTTATCATTCCCCCCCATCCCTCCCAGGTGCACGACGGCATTAATTGATTTCTACTTTGCCAATCGCTCGCGTGCGCAGACTCAACATTAGTCTATAGTAGTCAGTGAGTTTTGAGTCGACTCAATAGTCAGTGCCAGTCAACACCCAATTCCATTTCCCCACCCCCCACCCCCCCCCCTCCCCCTCCTCCTCCCAGATGCACAACGGCATTGATTTCTATTACACCAATCGATCGCGTAAAGTCAACATTAGTCAATAGTAGTCAACGCCAGTCAACACCCACTTCCGTTTCCCCACCCACCCCTCCCGTCTGGCCCCTCCCAGGTGCACGACGGCATTGACTTTTACTACGCCAATCGCTCCCACGCGCATAGTCCACATTAGTCAATAGTAGTCAACGCCAGTCAACACCCACCCAACACCACCACCCCCACCCTCCCCCTCCTCCTCCCAGGTGCACGACGGCATTGACTTTTACTACGCCAATCGCTCCCACGCTCAGAAGTTTGTTGATTTCGTGTCGGCCGTGGTGCCAGCTCAGCACCGGAGCGACAAGCAGCTGGTGTCTCATGACATCCACACGGCCTCGTACAACTACAAGTGAGTCGTGAGAAGGCTTATAACGAGTGCACGTTGCGAGTACAAGTCTGGTGGTGCTAAGTGCTGAGAGCAGAGCATGGGGCGTGGGTGGCACTACCAGCGTGCATTGAGGTCGTTTTTGAGGCGCTTTAAAAAACGATCTCAATGAGTGCAGAGAGCTTTTGAGTCGATTCAAAAGCCATCTGAATGAGTGCGGAGAGCAGAGCATGGTGCATGGCACTACCAGCCAGCCAGCTCAGCACGAGAGTGACAAGCAGCTGGTGTCGCATGACATCCACACGGCCTCTCATAAGTACAAGTGAGTGCCATAACGAGGATGCTTACAGTGAGTACACAACCACAGGTGGCAGCTCAGAACCAGAGTGGCAAGCAGCTGGTGTCACATGACATCCATTCACGCAGCCTCGTAGTACAATTACAAGTGAGTGAAGGTAAGGCTTAGGGTACGTTCTTTGCTGGCTTTTAGTGACTACAATTACAAGTGAGTGAAGTTAAGGCTTATAGTGAGTACAATTGCAAGGGAGTGAAGTTAACGCTTTAGTGAGTACAATCACAAGTGAGTGAAGTTAAGGCTTATAGTGAAGAAGTACTACATGAGTGGTGGGAAGGCTTACAGAGAGTACAACAAGTAAGTGTTTCATTGTACAGAGGAGCGTTTTAACGAGTACAAGTATTGCCAGTACTTGCCTCCCACTCCCATATGTCCAATCCTGCCCTCTCCTGCTCCCCCCAGGTACACTTTCTCATCGAGATCTGCCTGTGCGCAGGAGGATTTGATCTGCCACCTCCCGACGCTGCCAATGCGTGTGGCACGGTAGCCACCCCCTTCTTCCCTCCTATCTTCCCCCCCCAGGTACACCTTCCCGTCAGATCTGCCCAGTGTGCAAGGAGGATTGATCTGCCTGCCCCCAAAGGCCGCCAACGCGTGTGGCAACGGCAGCCAACCTTCTAGTG